CGCTGACCAATATCAATTTTTCTGGATGATTTAAAAGAGATGAAGAATATGAGTGTGAGAATGAAAATTCATAAGTGACGAGGTGATATGAAGTGAGGAATTTAGAGTTAATAGTATAATTGATAATCAGTGGGCGTAGACATTTATCGATTATAACAAATCCTTCAAAACTCAGTGAAGATCACCGCATTCTCAATAGACTATGACAGTATGGAAGATGGTGAACAAAATTTAAACACATTCATCTGATTTGTGGATTACAGTGAATACATGAATTGAGATGTGAGCATGAAAAGCGTAACTGACTCACCAAAACACCGAATGACCAAAAATCAACCGCTTCGTTATAGAGTTGACCTTTAATGATCTGAAGAGGAGGAAAATATTACGATTGATTTGCAATAGCAAATTTTTGAGCACAGTATCAATGGTTTAAAGAATTCAGTTATACTCAGACATGAAATACTTAGAAATCATTATCGTTCAGTGTTTTCCAGTGGATTGGAAGCCCGGCACAGAAATCCTTTGTGTTCTTAGTCAATGAGCGAAAAAATAATCGCAAATGAAATGAATAACTTCAATCGTATCGCTCATCCGAGAAATAATGAGGCTCTACAACATTAAGGTTCAAAGCCCTATGAAATCAGAATTTTGGATAAAGGCAAACCTCAGGAGCGATATAGTCAGGAGTTCCGCAGAATGTAGAAGCCATACCGTTTTCACGATTCATTTCCGTTTTGCACATACCAAAATCGGCCAGGTGAATATGACCTTCAGTATCCAACAGAATGTTATCCAGTTTCAAATCCCTGAAGTCAATTAAGCAATAATAATTGATTAGTGTTGTAACCTACTATCATATGAAAAAATCGTTCACCATAGATCTAAAAGAAATCGACGAGCTGATTAGCTTGTTGAATCTATGGATTTCTCATAGACTGTTATTGGTAGGATGTATCAGACGAGAATCGTTGCATAATTGGCAATGTAAAATTGTGCAAATTGGTCGAAAAATGAACAAAGAAATTTACCGATAGTTACAAGCAAGTGGATTCACACAAATGCAAAAAGAATCAAGCAACGAATGAATTGAGTTTAACTGAGGGAACGATTGCAGAATTAATTGCATTTGAGAAAGTCAAGATGTGTTTTCAATCACAAACCGATAAATAATATCTCGAGAATGCAGAAACTGCAACGCGACAATGATTTCACAAGCATAAAATCGTGTTCGATTCTCATCAAATTTCTTAACAGTTTGAATATGATGCATTAAGTCGCCACCGTTCAAATACTCCATTACGAAGAATAAATACTCCTGTAAAAATTGAATGAATCAAATGAAACTCGATGAATCTGAAGAATCCTTTTAACATTTGCCGAGAAAAAGTTCTGTGAAATTTTCGAAACATTTCCAGTGAAGAATTATTAGGTGAGAAAATACTCTCAAAGTTCCATCACAACTAGTGAGAATCAATTCTTCTGATGAAATTGGTTTAATTTGCGTCTCTAACATTGCTAATAGCCATAAATTATACTTGCGAATAGCATTGGCGAAGATTAATTGTTCGAANGGAATTCCGATGCTGGATAACACAGAGCATTTTATAAGTGTTTTAACCTAATCATCATAAATTTCACATCAACTCCTCTCATCATCGATTTATATTCGGTAATACGTAAGCAATGTCGATGGTTTATTTTCACAGATTTTACAGTGCTATGGCTTGCATGAATTGTTGTATGCGCTGCTTTCAAGTAATAAGGAATGTTTTGATTTAAAAAGAATACGTCGAATACGTAATTTTCTATGTTTATGAAGTTGCTGAACCCCATGATTACCCCGTTATCGGAGCATGGCTCGGGTTCTAAAAACACTGATCATAAGGAACGACTAACAGTGGTCTGAAACGAACAAAACAATTGGCATAGAAATGGGCATTGTGAAGACAATATCAGCACTCGTCTCTCGATAAATGTACATTCAGTGTCATCATCTTCCAATATCACATCCTTCTTCAGACATTTCATCGCATAATATTCACCTTTACCTTTCAACTCAACCAGCAAAACCTGAAAATTGAAATTTCTTCATTAACTGACAAAATTGTAAAGAATAGTTCCGTTTTCTTCATTGCAGTTTTCCTCATTCATAGATGAATACTGTAGATGAGCATCGATCTTTGGTCGTGATCAAACGCGTTGATTAAACGATATCAATCACATAGGTACTGATGAGAAAATGAACGACATACCTTTCCGAAACTTCCTTTTCCGAGCACTTTGAGCAAATTGAAATGTTGCATACCGTATTTCTTCACACCATCAGCCGCACTCCACGGTGCATTGATGAATCTGAAAGAGTTGAGAGCATAGTTTTTCATGAAATGCATTATCTGTCAAAGTCGTTGACAGATAATGCACTTCTAAGAACATTTCTTCATGTGAAGTGACTGAAACTGATGAAGGTCTAGGAATTCCGAACGCTAAGCTGCAGCATGTTAAGAGCTTCTTAGCTTTCGTTCATTAAATCACACATTAGACGAAAACGTTGATCATTTTAGATAAATATATTACGATCAGTGAAATCATTTGATCACGATATCAAGAGACGTTTCAGGAGCCGCGGCGGGCAATTGGATGAAAGTTTTCAACCAGCAATAAACGCACCTCGGCTAAGCCTCATTGGTCACGT